AACGTAGTTATTACAGGGCACATCTACTATTTGACCTGGCAGCAGCTCATAGCAGAGTCAGAATGTTCTCTCAGTCTACACTTTCCCCATGCTGACCCTCTATTAACATTACTTTTACTTATTCTTTTTCAACTGGATTTTATTTTCTTTTTGCTCTTTCTTTAACATCTTGCTCAGCTGACATCTCTTCCAAGAAGTGTTTACTGATTCTTCACATTTGTCTAAATCTTCTCCTCAGGTCTGGTAGATGAGCTCCCCGGTACCTTATGCATCCATTTTCACAGTCTTTATCCTGCTATGTTGTAATTGCACCAGGGGAGCATTATGCTTCATTTATTTTTGTATCCTTGGTACTGAACATAGTACATGGCAAACCAATAACTATTTGATAAGCTGAATTGTCTTAATCTCAACATCTGTACAAGTGGAGAGAAAAGTGTCGGCAAAGCCATGGCAGTTGGGAAACATAGATGATTAGAAGCAGTGGTGACCAGACCCCTTCCTTGTATGTTTCATCTCTAATGGATATTCCTCTATTGCTTAATTTCTGATACATTGCGCTATCCAGGTCTCTTCTTGGGGAAGAACTGATCTCTTTCCAGGGCTTCAGTTATGTCTTGTCTTGACCATATAACCTCTTGAAAGCAGCTATCTGCAAAGATCAGTAGATCAGTACCTTGCTATTCCAGAACCAACAACACCTGGGAGTTTGCTATAAAACCAAAATCTCAGGCCCTCCTCTAGACCTCCTGAATTAGAATCTGCATTTTAGCTACTCCTCAGGTGATTTGGATGTACAGTAAAATGTAAGAAGCCCTGGATTAGTAGTAGGTGCCTTTAAGAATAATGTATTCCCTGAATTTATTGATATTTAAATGCCTTTGCCTATGATGTCTCAGAGAATGGCATTGGGTCTGTTGCAAAGAGAATGAAATAGAACATTGGTATATCGATGAGATCTTGGCCAAAATCAGGCAGTAATTTTCTAACCAAGTTAACTGCAAGTGAAACAATCCACATTAGATTAGAACTAAGTAGACAACCTAAATATTTAAAACGGGTTCAATAAGTGAGAAACAAGTATTTCATCTTAATGTCTTGATCCTCTGCTTGGATAGAAAATGATTAACATTTTAAAGAGACTATTTCTTTAGAAAGAAATGCACTATCCCACATCAAGGCAAACATGTTTTTTTTTTATTTTATTTGGTAGCAGTTTAATGACTGAAGCAAGGATTTCAAAAGCTATCTCCTGGTTTCCGTTCCAATCTTAGAGGCAAAGCAAGTATTTGCTTTCAGCATAGTTGACACCCAAGCGTTCTGCAAATGTTTCCACAAAGCCAGCTGCCCTTTATAGATCCCCCTGGGAACTTTTCTTTTGGTTACTAACCCTCGAGAGCCTACAACTCCCTATTTGTGAAGGTATTTGTCAGACAGAAAGAGGTCATGAATCTTCAGATCTTTTTGAGGAGCATGATCAAGACTCCAGTTTGAAAAACTTTATCCCTTTGCTCAGACCTTTGGGCTCATCTGACGACTCCCTTCTCCAGCCTTATCATCCCGTTGGAACATGCCCCTCCACACACACAGATACACAAAAACAGCACTTCTGTAGCATTTCTTGGCTAGTATATTGTAGGGTTGAAAATTCTGAGAAAATTCATTCCTTATCTGAAAGCTTCATTGGATTTTAAATGCATTTTTATACTAACATTTCTGTTGATGAATCTTGTAGATGCATGAAATTTTATGTTTACTGCTTTTGCTTTATCACCAGTTCAGTCATGGTTTCTCCCTGGGTCTCGCCTTTGTATCTTCCATAGTACCTTATTCCCTCCCCCTTTTTAAATAACAGAGTCCCAGAGAGTGTTCAATGACTGATCTCTAATGCCATGCGCTAGGTTGAATAAAAGGCTGTGGTCAAACACTCATCTGGAGAATCATGTTACAAAATCGTCAGTGACAAAGACCTGCTTCTGAGATATTGTGGCCTTCCAAGGACCTGATGGTGGATTCAGTTTTTACTCTTCACGCACCTATTAGGTGGTTCAAGTGTATAGATGCGTGTGTGTGTGCTTGCATGTGTGTGCATGCCTATGAGCGTGAACAGAACAAAAACCTCAACTCTCTAGCACATACCACCTGTTTTCACATCATTGTTGTTACAAAAGGCTTTTTTTTTTCCTCCTTTAATTAGCTGAGCTGTCCTATTTTTTCATAACTTGCCTCTTCTCTAACATATGGGCTGTAACCGTATTTCTTTTCATTAGACCTGAGCCTTGTTTGTCATTTATACCATACTTTTGCCTTTCTCTTTCATTTGGAAAGAAAGAGAGGCTTTTCTATTATTTTAGAGCAAAGCACCTCTGGTTTATGTGGCGACTCTTGTGGCTTTCTAAATGCACTTGATTTAGCTTTCAATGTGTAATTACTGCCAAACAAGTTAATTGCTTTATAAGTGTCCAAAATTCCCTGGTTTAATTTTGCTTTCATTTACCAACCTTCATTATACATCCACTGTTCAACATAAACACAAATGATTGTTAATGAATGCCTAATACCATATTCATTAGAAAATCAGATTAATGACTGGCAATGAATATCCCAGCTACTTTATTCTTTCAAGCTTTTTAGTTATTTATTTTTGCCTTGTTGATTACAATAGCTCTTTTGTTTACCAGGAAATTCTACCTGTACTCCTAGTCTGTTTCTTTCTGGACTCCTCGTCTTGCTTAAAAGTTCAAGGTAAAGGTTTCTAAGGTACTCCCATTCCTTAATTGTTCTTTCTTCCTGCAGATATGTCCAATATATGTAGCTATTTGTACATAAACTTTATCTCAATAATGCTTTATAAAAAATTAAAAAACCAAGGCAATCAGAATGCACATGATTTCCTTGGGCTATTGGCTACCATAAAGTCTTGTTGTTTGGACAACAGAAATCTCAGGACTGCGTTGTATAGACGGTCAGGTGGTACACTGAACTACCCTAAAAGGTACTGTTCTTGTATCACAGTCTCTGTGAATGATGCCACCCTGCTGTGCCATCCACAACTTGCATAGCTCTGAGGAGTGGCACTAAGAAATCTCCACTGAAATAAAAAATGGATCAGAGCAGGGTGGTTTGGGACAGCATTCAGTGCTTCGTGCTGATTGCCCTGGGCAAAGGTTGCCTACTTGGAAGATACCACATGTGTGAATGTACATGGTTTGAGTGAGTGGCAGGAAGTCCATGGAGGAGGAGAACTGAGATACACATCATGGGGATGGGCCTGATTTTCCCCCTGGTAATTCTTGCTTTGTAAATGAAATTCCTTCCCCTCCCTGCAGACATGGGGTTGCTTTTCCAATCAAACCGGCAGCTGAGGTTCGAAGGCTATGCATGTGTGCTGATAACCCAACAGAGGACGATGGGTAGAATACAAAGTCCAGATGCTGAAATTTGAGCCCTGGCTTGTCACTACATAGTTGTGTGATCTTGAGCAGTTTCCTCATCTATCAAGTGCAAATGTTGGCAATTTAGAATTCCTTCTGGCTCCACAGCCTGTGACACCACATTCCTTTTGGGATGACAGGAGAGTTCCCCTGCATTCTTTCAATGCATTGACTGGATGCTTACCATGTGCCCAGCACAGAGTTGATGTCAGGGATACTAGGTAGAAGACACATTTTCTTGATCTCATGGGAGGACATATCGGCGGGCCCATGCACCCCGCCTGTCTTTGGCAGCAGTACAAATGCATCACAGTGGTAGCACTACTCACCTTCAGTGCTGTGAAATCTATTACCCTCCCCAATTACTTACTCCAAGTTCTAGTAATTTTACCTATTTCTTCCCCCTTGGGCCCCCTTCTACTGCTCTTCTCACCATTCTTCTATCATGGTACTTTAATCTCAGAGAAGCTCTTGTTTCTTCTTCCATTTTTGTCTCAGTTTCTGTCTCTAGCCCTCACCCAAGTCTACATAATCTATATTCCTTGACTCCACCTGTTTCTGTACCTTCAGAACATTTAGTGTTATTGGAATCTTAACTTTATTTATGTGATTCTTTGGTTACTACCTTCTGCTTTAGACTCTAATCACCTCTGGGAAAGGTAGTGGCAGAATCACCATTGTTTTTCTGACATATACTTGTATCCTCGTGATAGATTTTTTGGGGGTCTCTCCTTCATGACACCAATCTTAACAGACTGGTTTTAGCAAATATTGGGCAACAGAAAGTCAAAGACCTTGAGGAGCATAACTAAATAAATAAAAAGCACTGAATTGAAAACCAGAAGTATGAAAACAAATCCTGATATTATCTTATTAAGGTTTGGTATTTTAAGTAAAATTGCAAGTAAGTTTCAAATCAAATGTCTGGTTTGATAGTTAAGTAAATTTGTTCTCTTCCATTGTGAGATCCTCAGGGATTACCTCTTCTGACCTCCCTGAGTTTATCTATTGTATGTTTTGTATGTTTGTTTCAGTCACAGGTGTCTACAGTGATAATTCTGCATGCCAAGCAACTCCAAATAAGTGACTTTCAACAAGAAACATTCATTTCTTACTTATGTTCATGAACTTGTGGGTTGACTATGGCTGCATTGGGCTCAGCTGGGATGGGCTTCGGGCTATGGGAGGTACAGCAGAGTCACATGGCAAAGGGTGTAAATGTTTAATTCTATTTCATCCCAATATATCACCATATTTTCAAAATACTTTGTCTCTCTCTTTCATCACATGTATCAGAGTTAAAATTTTACATTTATTTGTGTGATTATTTCGTTACTACCCGTGGCTTACTCTGGACTCTTGAGGATGGGAACTGTGTTTTGGGCTCACCATTGTTCCCAAAACACCTGGGACAGTGCTGTGGGCAATATCGGGTGCTCAGTGAATGAACAGCCATTGTTTGAAAGAATTAGCTTCTGATCTGCCTAGAAACCATCACAGGAATGGAAATGTTTCTTTCTAAGAATTACTGAAGTGATACTAAATGCCTTGTTTCTAATGTTTCAGAAATCCCCTTGCTACATTCCCATTGTGAGCAGTGCCACCCTGTGGGATAGAAGCACACCCCATGCAAAGGTGAGTCAGTGGAGTGTTATGTGCAGGGCTGCTCCATAGTGCCGACCTTTTGGCTTCAGTTGCTTTACGTGTAAGCAGATTTGTTCCTTTGTATTTTTGACTTTATAACTTGTAAAGGATTTTTTACATTTTAAAATAAGAAGGATGTTAAAAGACATTTCCTAGAAAACCTTGGATCTCTGTTTGAGAGTCATGCTACCTCCTTATTCTTTACACACAGATATGTACACCTAGAAAAACCTGTATCATCCACTGATGTCCAAGAATAGAAATCACAGTACATTAGGGATCTTTTCAGTGCATTTATGTGACCAACATACAGAAACTAGGGCAATAATTTTATCTTACCATCATCCATAAAAATTTACAGCTGAGTTCACTAGGCAAAAAGTTGACCTGTTAGTAGTGTTCCTCTCCTGTACCATCTTCTACTAATTGGTTGCTAATGCTCTTTTTCTTGGTGAGAGCCAAAGTGAATGTTTGTCCCTATGATGTGCATATGCATGGCTATAAATGACTATGATGTGGACATGGAGATAGTCACCATGGCTGGCTAGTCCAGTTGTCATGGAGCTGTGGTAGCTTTCCAGATTCAGTCCCACTGGAGCTTTGTTTACAAAAGCAGGATTGGGATAAAAAGAACCTTTTGGCCAACACTGAAATTTACATCCTAAGGGCTTTAATCACCTTCATTTCCTTCCTATTTACCATGAAGGGAATTGCAACTTCCTCTAAAAAGGAACACACAGTCCAGCAACACTGATGAAATCACAACATCCCAAGCACATGAGGAGGAGAGAGTTTTCTCTTCTGTGGACTCCCTTTTTCAAAATTTGTGAGCAGTACTGGCTTAAATTACAGCTTGCAGAAAAGTAGCATATGGTGACTGGAAATACAATTCAAGAGTAGAAATCAAAGATGTAGAAAATCACATTTTAAGATTAATGGAAAAGGCCAATAATAGTAGAAAACATGAAAAATATGAAGTAGTTGAAAAACATGACCTAGTTTTCTCCCTGTTCTTACTTTGCACTAAAGCAGAGGAATGTATCTAAGTAAGGTATCTGCAATATGCTGTTTCATTAGTTATATGTCCATTTGGACTTCAAGGATCTGTGCAACTGAAGGATTCCATGACTCCCGGAATGGACTGTGTTGGAAAGGAAACAGGCCCCAGTAAAGTCCCTTTATTACTACTATTCCATAACTAGTATGTCAAGGCTCTTAGAAGACAACACTTCATGAAAAGTGACCACAGATCCATTCTCTCATCAAGGAGTAGTGCAGGTGACAATGAGAGTTGGCATTTAGCTCATACCGCAGCAAGATGATGCCTCTGGAACTCACAGACCAGTGCCCCCTGGGTGCCACTCCTTTCCTCTGACAGCTTAAGTTAGAACGGGGAAGCAAGTGCAGTCCTATGTAGAGCAGGGCTTGGCAACAGCTAGATCCTCTTTCAAATTGCATCATCTCTTCCTCTCTCTTTCTTCTCTCTCTCTTCCTCTCTGTGTTTTTGTGACTTTGGAGGAATTATGAAAGTAGGACTAAAAAATTTTAAGATTTATATCTTTAAAATACTTTCATATTATGTTGTTGCATATAGTATATACTGTATATTGACTGCTATATACTTTATTATATATTATACATTGTATATTATGCACTGTACATCAGATGTTGTATAGCACATGTATATGAAACATATACTATGTATAACATACTATCATATATGACAGATAACCTGTATTGTGTATGTGTGTGTGTGTCTTTGTGTGCCTCTGTGTCTGTGGCTGTGTGTATGTGTTCCAGTATTATACCTTATATATTGTATTTACTGACCACCTAGCAATAGTCAGATACTAAAAGCAACAGTAAAGAGAAAAGTCTTTGCTTTTTAGGAGACTATCAATAGTGAAGAACATGAATAATGGGAAATTATCAGATAAATAATTCAAGTAATTCCAGAAAACTGCTTTGTTATGAAAACTGTAGATTGGAGGTAATGAGGTTGAGTGTCTCTTGGGGTGGGAGAAGGGTGCTGCTTTTGCTAGGGTAAGGTGGTCATGGAAGGCTTTTCTTCTTCTTCTCCTTCTTCTCCTTCTTCTCCTTCTTCTCCTTCTTCTCCTTCTTCTTCCTCTTCTTCCTCTTCTTCCTCTTCCTCTTCTTCCTCTTCTTCTTCTTCTTCTTCTTCTTCTTCTTCTTCTTCTTCTTCTTCTTCTTCTTCTTCTTCTTCTTCTTCTTCTTCTTCTTCTTCTTCTTCTTCTTCTCCTCCTCCTCCTCCTTCTTCTCCTCCTCCTCCTCCTTCTTCTCCTCCTTCTCCTCCTCCTCCTTCTCCTCCTCCTCCTTCTCCTCCTCCTCCTTCTCCTCCTCCTCCTTCTCCTCCTCCTCCTTCTCCTCCTCCTCCTTCTCCTCCTCCTCCTTCTCCTCTTCCTTCTCCTTCTCCTCCTCCTTCTCCTCCTCTCTTTCTTTTTCTTTTTTCTTTTTCTTTTTTCTTTTTTTTTGAGTTTGCTGGATCATATAGTAATTCTACTTGAACCCGGGAGGTGGAGGTGGCAGTGAGCCAAGATTGCACCATTTCACTCCAGACTGGGTGACGGAATAAGAATGTCTCAAACAAACAAACAAACAAACAACAACAAAAATAGACTTAATAGCCTTTAGAAGCATTTTCATTAACATAAAGAAAAACGCCAATGACTACTATTATTATGTCTGTTCAAAAATGTCCTCAGGGTTCAAAGCAATAATATACAGGGAAAATGTATAAGAACTGGGGGGAAAAGATAATGTTTATTATCTACCTGGAAATTCTAAAATTATCTCAAAATTATTAAAATATATAAATTATTAAAACCAACACTATAAATTACTTTGGAATAAATTTAAAAAATTATAAGACATATATGGAGAAAAGTATAAAATATTATTTAAGGATACAAAAGAAGGTGCCCAAATAAATGAAGAGATACTATGTATGTGAATGAGATGTCCATCTTTGTCTTTTTGGTGAAGTTAAAAGAAGACTGATCCTACAAGTTAAAGACCATAACTTGATCTTTCAATTATGAAGAAGAAAAAAATATGGGAACTTGTTTTTACCAGATATCAAGACTTTTTATAAAGCCTTAGTAATTAAACAGCATGCTTTGTGCTCAAGCGTAGGCCTGTGGAACTGAACAGAATATATAAATCTGATATACAAAAGAAAGGATATTAGATACTGATGGGGAAAGGAAGGACTACGGACAACTGGCTATTCCTACAGAAAAAAAAGGTAATATTATTTATCTATTCACACTAAATAGAAAAGTAAACTTTGGGCAGGTTTAAGAAAACAGTAACTTTTAGAGAAAATACAAAATATATTTTATGACCTGAGGGGTATAAAGGGATTTCCCAAGGTATAAATATCATAAACTTTCAAGATATATTGATAAATTTTACTACATTATAGATTAAAAAGTTTCCTTTACCAAGCTTTATAACAAAAATAAAGACAGGTTACAAGTTAACAACAAATATTTGGAGAGCAAATACTAACAAGTAATTTATTTCTATAATTTACATGGAATTCCCACCAATTTGTAAGAGAAAGATAGTTAACTGGGCAGAAAAATGAGCAAAGGATATGAATTGACAATTCACGAAGAGGAAACCTGAATATCCAATAAAAGTATAAATAAAAGTTTTAGCTTATTAGTGTCAAGGGAAATGCAGATAAAAACTGTAATGAAAGATGATTTCATACTTGTAAGTTGACACAAATGAAAAAGTCAGATGATAAAACATGTTGACAATGGTATAGAGAAATGGAGAGTCTCACAAAAGCTGCTGCAGAATCACTTTAGAGAGAATTTTCATGATCTAAAACAGTTGTAGAATGTAAACACCTTTTATTTTATTTTTGATACAAATATTTGTACATATTTATGGGGTACATATGTGATATTCAGTTTAATGCACTGACTGTATAATGATCAAGTCAGGGTGTTTGGGGTGTCCGCCACCTTGAGTATTTATCATTTCTATGTGTTGGGATCATTTCAGGTCCTTTCTTCTGGCTATTTTGAAATATATAATACATTGTTGTTATCGATAGTCACCATACTCTGGTATTGAACATTAGAATGTATTCCTTCTATCTAAATGCATGTTTTTACCCATTAGCCAATCTTTCTTTATCCTTGCTCCCACCCTGATACGCTTCCCAGCCTCTAGTATTCATCATTCTGGAATGAAAACACATTTGACTCAACAATTTCCATCAAGGTGTGAAATTAGAGACTTTGTACTCAATGAAGACACATAGACCAGCAGTCCCCAACCTTTTTGCGTTTTGTGGAAGATCATTTTTTCCACGGACCAGGAGGGGTTTGGAGGAGATGGTGTCTGGATGAAACTGTTCCACCTTAGAAGATCATCAGACATTAGTTAGATTCTCATAAGGAGTGTGCAACCTAGATCCCTCACAGTTCACAATAGGGTTCGAGCTCCTGTGATAATCTCGTGCCACCACTGATCTTACAGGAGGCAGAGATCAGGTGATAACACTTGCTCCAAGCCTGCCACTCACTGCCTGTTGTGCCTTCTGGTTCCTAATGGTCTGGGGCTTGGGAACCCCTGACATAGAGGACTGTTTTCTGATGCATTGATGTGTAATGGAAAAGTAAAAAGCATGTGTTCATTAACAGTAGAGTAGATAAATACATTGTGGCCTAATTTAGGCAATGGTCTGTTGCAACTAGTTTAAAGGAATAAATTGAAGCTGTACAGACCATCAAGGATAAATCTCAATAATCTGATGGTGATTGAAAGTATCAAGTTATAGAATTACTTACATATTTGGTATGACAGATACTGTCACTTAGAAGGTAAAGTTATACACCTTTGCTTCCCCCCGCCCCCCCGCCCCCAGTTTGGAGCCATTTGAGATGTAGACACACAGATCAGAAAGATGGTGGTAAAAATATATTCCGGGTCAAAGCTGGATTGAAGAACTT